AGGGCCAGGCTATGAAGGACTTTGAAAGCAAACAGAAGATTTTATATTTTATTCTGGAGATAATAGGGAACCACTTGAGTTTAATGAATAAGGAAATGATAATAGTCAAGCATATGTTTTAGCTGACATTTGACAGCTGAGTGGAGAATATATTGGAATGAAGAGAGAACTGAGTCAGGAAGACCAACCAACATGCTATTGCAACAGTACAAGCATGAGGTGAGGAAAGGCTGCACTGGGGTGATTGTAGTGTCAGAGAAAAGAAGAAGGCATGTGGAAGAGATATTATAAAAGTAGAAATGACAGGACTTGATCATTGATTAGATATGGGATTGGTGACAAAAGAGATTGAGGAGTCAAGGATGATACCTGGGTTGCAAGCCTGCATGACTAGGAAAATGGTGATAGCCTTGAGAGTAATAGAAAATTTAAGAAAAAGAGAAGGTTCAGGTAGGGGGGATGATCATGAGTTGAATTTTATACATGGTGAGCTTTGAGATGTCTATAAGACATCAGTTTCAGATTCTGGAAAAGTAATATATTCCATGTTCTTCAAATTTTCTTCTAATATCTCTTTTTATATCTAGGTCATGTATCCATTTTGATCTTATCTTGGTAAATAGTGTAAAATATTGGTCTATGCCCAATCTCTACCACACTGCTTTCCAGTTTTCCCAACAATTTTTTACCAAATGATGAATTCTAATCCTCAAAACTTAAATCTTTACACTTGTCAAATACAAGGTTACTATATTTATTTGCTGCTATAAATTGATCTGTTCCACTGATCTACCTTATCCAGTGTGAGTATTGATAGTTATAGCCTTACAGTATAATTTAAAATATGGTACTGCTAAACCTCCTTCCTTTACATTTTTTCTACTAGTTCCTTTGATATTCTTGACTTTTTGTTCTTCCAAATGAATTTTATTATTGTTTTTGGAGATTGTGACACTGGAGGTTGGGAGATATGTTAAGGCTGAACAAAAAAACTGAGAGTCATGGGCATTTTGTTGTTGTTCAGTTATTTTTAGTCATGTCTAACTCTTCATGACCCCATTTGGGGTTTTCTTGGCAAAGATACTGGAGTGGTTTGCCATTTCCTTCTCCAAGTCACCAGCACAGAGGTGATAAATGAAACCATGAGAACTGTGAGATTACCAAATGAAATAGTATGAAAGGAGAAGAGAAGGCCCAAGACAGAGCCTTGGGGGAATCCTGATGGTTAGCTGGTATGATGTGGGTGAAGATCCAGCAAAGGAGACAGAGAAGGAGCTGACAGGTAGGAGGAGGACCAGGAAAGAGCAGTGTCATGAAAACCTAGAGAGAAAAGCCTGTTAAGGAGAATAGAGTGGTCAATAGTGTAAAAGGCTGCAGAGAGGTCAAGGAGGATGAGGTTTGGGGGAAGGCCATTAGATTTCTCAATTACGAGACCATTAGTAACTTTGGAGTTCTGAATGATGAAATCATCAGTCAGAATGCAAAGTGTTAAGAAGAGAATGGGGATCAGGGGAGAAATGAAAGTACCTATTATAAATGGCTTTCTCTAGGAGCTTAGGTATAAAAGGAAGGAGAGATATAGGATGATGGCTAGTGGGGATGGATAGATCAAGTAACGATTTTTGAGGATGGGAGAGATATGGGCATCCAGGATATCAGGATTTGCGTCTCAGTTCTGACAGTACCTGCGGGACCACAGGCAAGTCCATTCACTTCAAAAGCTCAAGATTCTCATCTGTAAAGCAAGAATGATGATACATGTAAAACCTATTTCACAGAGCTCTTGGGAGGAAAGTGCCTTTCAGAAGTTGAATGTGCTATGTAAGTATGAGTTATTCTTATGACTGATATCTTGAGAGAATATTTGCAGACAACAAATCCAAAGATAACCCTTGGTTTTTATTCTTGTATCTCACCTTAGAGCTTCAAATTAAGGTCAAAGACCAAGGCAGTGGCATCAGCAAATATTTATAGAGCACCCACTGAGTATCTTGATGCTACTCAAGGCACCCTGGGGGGATTGGAAACCACCTCAAAAATACTGTTCTATTGCTTTCTGGTTTGTGATAAAGCACTACAATTTTAATGTTTCAGAGTGATCTGCTGCATGGAATTGTTCCCACTTTAGTTCTGAGATGAGTCTCTGCTATCCATGTTCTTCCTGACTGAGCTACATTAGGACATAGCAAGGCAAAGTTTTTTCAAATACTGAGCCCCTCCCAGCAAATTAGTTCTACTTTTTGGAGATACTCAAGCAGACTCGTCCTCTAAATATGGCACTGGGCACCGAGACAACAGAAAAATTCCTTGTCTGGTTCCAAGTTCCAAATGAGATAAAAGCTTGGGAGGCTGAGTTTCTCATACCCATAGAGTCTTCACAATCACACTGAGACCACTGGACAAATTCCAACAGCCTGTGTGTCCTTTTGCTAATCTTAAAGTTCTTGTTTTCCCTACAGTTGCAGGCTTATGATAGGCATGAGGCAGGACACTAGTGAGGTAGAAATGGCCACATAAGTAATGATCAGTTTGCAACCCTCTTATAAACACAATTGTCACAGGACAGGGCTGACTTTTGCCTCATAGAACAGTATATTATGCCTTTTGCTGTTTGTAGCTATATTTCAGGGATCTTTGTTTGAATTGCGGAACTTCCAAATGTAAAATAAATAGTTATAATAAGGTCAGCCAGTCATTCAGTCAACAAGCATTTATTAAGTGCAAAAAAGGACAATGACACACAGAGAAAGCCACGCAAATATCAGACATTTAGAGCTGCACTGTTCTGCTATGAACAAAATCTTACCTGACTCTTTTGGTCTCCCTACCTGCAATTCATACAGAACTGCCCCTGCAGTATAACAGTTGGTATGTAATAGGATCAGCCTACATACCAACCCACATGTCTGGGCTCTCTCTGATTTCATCAGCTGCCTATAGGTAGCCTTATAATGGCGTGGTGGCTGGTGCTCTCATTAACAACATTGTCAACAGTTGCTGCCTTTCTGCTCCTTAGCTTGCTCAGTTGCCCCAACTTCCACATAGTTGTAACCACATAAATCTTCTTTAGATGATGTGCAGAAGAAACTGATTGAGAATGCAGGAGAAACTGTAGTGGAACCATTTTGATCACTGATATCCCTTAAGAGAACTGTCCAAATGAATTACATTGAGGGTAGCCAAATAAAATAGATCACCCCACCATAGTCACTGCACAGCAACTGGTTAAGTTTGATATAAGACATGTTGGATGTCATGAAAACAAATATTGTACTGAATTTGGACTGTCAAGTAAGAAATAAATTAGCATTTTTTGGAAAAAAAACTACTTGAAATCATTTGTTCTATGGCTATAGAGTATGCCATCAGGGCAACAAATGGGCATTGTTACAGTTCTAGGCAGATAATAGAGACGTAGTTCTATGTCAAGTGAAGTTCATGTGAGAAAACTTATCACTGTTATTGTAAAACAACAACCACAAGAACAACCCTCAACTCCTCCTGTTGATGGTAGGTCAGTTGTGTCCCCTTCATTCTTGTTGTTGTTCAGTAGTTTTGGTCGTGTCCGACTCTTCGTGACCCCATTTGGGGTTTTCTTGGCAAAGATACTGGAGTGGTTTGTTATTTCCTTCTCCAGCTCATGTTACAGAAGAGGAAACTGAGGCAAACAGAGTTAAGTGACTTGCCTAGGGTCACACAGCTAGTAAGTATCTGAGGCCAGATTTATGTTCAGGAAGATGTCCTGACTCCAGGCCTGGCATTCTATCCACTGCACCACCTTGCTGCCCCTTCTTCATTCTACATTGGAATGAATGTTCGCAATGCATGAGGACTAGCACATTGGAAGGATCCATTAAATTTTGCCAGAACATTATCTAGGCACAGATCCCAACTCATCAGAGAAGTGCTATGTAAGTATTAAGTGTTTTATTCAAATGTGTAACTTGGCAGAAGCAGTGATGTTAAAGCTGAAACTTTTCAAGCACACTTTTGGTCTGATGTTAACAGTGTTATAAACTCTCCCTCTGCTGTTATGAGTATCACATCAGGGAGAACAGGAACCTTATAACTCAAAAACACAGAACCATTTCTTTCTTTTGCCAAATGTAGAATGCTGTCCCTGGCCTAAAGAGAAGATGAACAACTTAATGAAACTACATTCTGAAACACTGCCCAGGACAGAAGAAGCTTCATCAAGCAGAGGCAAATGCCTCCTTTGCTGCAGATAGGAGGAATAATTAATGGCATCCTGTCTAGATCTCCACTATTGGGTTGTTTTTCTCAACCCCTCCCTCATAGTGGGACACACCCCCCTTCACCCCGCCATTACTTGGAATGTGGTAGTGTTGTACAGTGGAAAGAGAAATGGATTTGGAGTCAGAAGACCTAGATTTAAGGCCAGGCTCTGCTAGCAATGGGATTTTTGGTTTCAGTTCCCTCTTCTATACAAGGCATCTACGTGATGCAATACATAGAGCACTGGACCTAGAGTTATGGAGACCTGAGTTCAAATTTGACCTGAAATACTTTTAGCTGTGTGACCCCAGGCAAGTCATCTTTAGCTGCCTCAGTTTCCTCTTCTTAAAACGGGGATAGTAATAGCATCTACACTCAGGGTTGTTGTGAGGATAAAATGTGATAATGCATGTAAAGTGCTTTGAAAACCTTGAAGTGATATATAAATGCTAGATATTATTATTATTTGCTATTATTAAAAGGGGAATTATAGTACTGCACCACTTAACTTTGTTGATATAGCACTTTCCTCACCTGTTTATGTGAGGTAAGTGCTATATCAATGTAAGTTGTTATTACTGTTGTTGTTACCTCAATTCTTCATATCCCTTTGACAGTAGAGACCCAAAATGAGATTATTTGATGTCTTAAAAGGGCTTATTCTTCCTCCTTTTTTAAAAAAGAAAAACACTTCATTCTTTTTTTAAATATTTCTTTTAATTAACTTCTCAGTGCTAAAATTACTGATATTGAATACACATAAATTTACATTGATGAAATTTTCTCACTGGGAGTTCCCTATATTAGTGAAATTGCAGGTCCAGGCCTTCCTTTCTCCTACCAAATAAAGAAAAAGAGAAGGAAAATATCTAAATTAAGCTCATTCCAAGATGGCCTAGAATTTCCATGTGATTTAGAAAAGTCAATTGACAAATTAGAGGTATTAATGCTGGAAGGAACTTTTGAATTGTTCTATTTCAATTCCCTCATTTTATAGATAAAGAAATAGAGATCTGAGAAGGTAAAGTTACTTACCTAAAATTACACATATAGCTAAATGATAGGGCCAAGACTTGAACCTAGGCCTGAATCATATACCAGGATTTTTTCCACTACTGTTAGACCCTCTTTAGTGTGAATGATGAGTCTCAGGAAGTGGTTGCTTGTATTCAGATTCACATTACTTAAGGTTATAATTATATAAAACATGGTAATTGGTTCCAGCTATATACATACATACATATATATTATATATGTGTGTGTGTGTATATAAATATACATATATATAATGCAAATTTGAACAATATAACCACTTTATGACATTCATTATTTGTACTTGTCAGGACTTATCTGTACATTACTCAAACTAAATATCTAGTAATTTTCTCACACTCATCTCTGTAAAAACAATAAACAAAAAAAGAACATGTTTTCATCAATAAACATTTGTTTAGTGCCTGACATTGTGCTCAGCACTTAGGACAGAAAGAAAGGCAAAAGATAGTTTCTGTTTTCAAGGAGCTCACAGTGTAATGGAAGAGACAACATGCAAATAAAAATTTAATTTACTTTTCAAGGTTAGCCCATCTTCTATAAGTAGATATTGGGGAAGCTTGCTCCATTTTTTGGAAATCAGGTTCTTATACCTGCCTAAGAAAACTAGCCTAAAGTTTAGCCCATGTGAGTTAAAGCAATGGTTAATGACTCCAGTTAATTCAATGTTTTTGAGACTTTACTCAGTGCAAAGCACTGTGTGAGGCACAAGGAGGGATGTAAAGATGATTTAAGGATTATTAACAATGTAGGAATTGTAGTTCCTGGCCTTTAATTCCACAAGTCCATCCTGGAACAAGATGTTGATTCAGCTGTAATTGTTAAGGATATGACTCTGATAGGCTGCCAGAGAGTCCATCCTCCCCATCAGACTTAGCGGCAGTCCACACAGGTGGGGGTCATTTTCTTGGCAGAAACTGAATACCATGAAAAAAGATGTCCTTGGTTGTCTGAACAACAGAAGTTCCTGAAACATATTTTTACTTTAATTGGATTTTTTGGATTTTTTAAAAATTATTTTTTTCCTTCCCTGTTTTATGAAAGAAGTACTGTACAGGAAAATGTAAGTAAAGGGAATGCCTGAAGACTGTTTTTTATTCTTCTTCTACAGTGTTGGGCATATGGTAGGGATTTAATAAGACTCTTGAGTTTTACATATGATAGGGGTCATGGGAAAAGGGGAGAGGTAAGGGAAGAGATGATGAGGTACATGGGAAATTACACAGCATCAGAGGCCCTAGTTTTGACTTTGGGTTGTGTTAGTTACTGTGCAATCAGGGGCAAGGCATTTAATCTCTCTGGGTCTTAGTTTCTTCCTCCATAAAATAAGGACATAACTCAAAATCCATGATACTAAATTCTACATTGCAGGACTTTTCTGAAACTTATTACAAACTAAACATTAGATAAAAACCAGCAGTTTAACTTTTCCTTTAAGAGAATTGTTTTTCTATCTTGCTTCCATTGTGTTTAGTGCTCCCAATGACTTGGCCCAAAAAGAGAATGTGTAAATGAAATGCATCTTGTATTGTTATTTATAATAACAATTAATAAACAAAAATCCTGCTGTACAAATGTAAAGTCAGGAGCTTTTACCAATAAACTGGACACATTGCTAAACAATGTATGATCTCCCTAGGGAATGGTTTGTCTCCAAAGAAATTTTGCCTAGAGTCAACAGAAATAAAATTTCTTTGAATTCATAAATTTGAAACCAAAATCATGTTGAGACTGCTGAAGCAACCAAAAATTAGGCAGAAAAGTAAAAACAAAAATCTATGTTCCAGGACCAGCCAGGAGGTATTTTATCCTTTCTTATGGATGTTTTCTCCTTAAATGGTCGCCCTGATATTGCTTGCAGCTGTTTGTATGTATTTCCGTTGCCTTTACAATTTGGTAAAATAAGTTGGACTCTATTAGAACTTATCTGCTTCCTGCCTTGTTATAATCTTTAAGAAAGGCACAACAACAACAACAAACAAGAAAGAAAGAAAGAAAGAAAGAAAGAAAGAAAGAAAGAAAGAAAGAAAGAAAGAAAGAAAGAAAGAAAGAAAGAGAAAGAAAAGCACAAAGAATCAGGCCATAGCTACCTTTTAAGAATTCCAAAATGAGCATACCCTGGAATAATTTTCTCTTGGCTAAATATATGGAGGGCCATGCTTTACTATATCCATTTGTCTAAAACTCTCTCTTTCTGGAACACATCATTTCACATCAGGTCAGTCAGTCAGTCAGTCAATCGTTTCTTAGGTGTTTACTATGTACCAGAGACTGTGCTAAGCACTGAGCATACAAAGAAAAGCAAGGATCTTACATTCTAATGGGGGAGACAACATGTAAATATTGGTTATATCTATTTTTACTTGTTTTAAGTTGCTGATAATTTACATTTTGTCATATTCTTTTCTTTTTATGGGACATAATGGCAGGCAATAGAAACACTGCATCTTTAGGTCTGCAGTATCCATTCTCTGCTTGGAATATACACTTCCAAGAACTGCTAAGGAATAATGGCTTTCAGATTCTGTGGCATCTATCACTTCTTTATGGTCTTTCACAGAAGGTGACCAAAGATAGGGGTTCAATGAAAGTCCTATCTAAGTTCTAAGAGGAAAGGTCATAATCAGTGGGTGGGATCACAGAAGACTTCTTGGAGGCAATGGCATTTGAGTTGGGCTATAAAAGTTGGCCAGGCAATCGATAAGCAAAGATAGGAATGAAGAATATTCTAGAAATTGGGAACAGTATAAGTAAAGGCATTTGGTACATTTAGGGGATGGACATTTAAATGAGTTTGGTTGGATTCATGAGCTATACTTGCATTGTGAAGTCCTTGCTAAAAATCATTTCAAAAAGTGAATTTTAAGGGGATATCCCTGCCTTTATAAGAAGCAGTCAATAAAATTAGGTAAGTAGAATTTGCTTATCCTCTAGAAGTCCTACGTTTTTAGAGACAGCTGCAGTATGTGGTTAAGAAAGAAATGGAATGACACAGAAACCAGATGATAAACAAGGAAGTCAAATTTGTTGACTCGAACAGGCTTTGATTTAACCAAAACACAAGTTGCTTACTGAGGTTCAAAATGTTCAACATTAAGACTTGTTCCAACAACATGGGGAGGCTGTTTTCATTTAATGACAAATCTGGATTTATGCAGTGTAATATCAAGCTATGGCAGCTTTGTTTGAGGTTCAAAATTATAAATAATGTCAGCAGAGCTGTAGCACACATCTTTTGCTTAACTGCTGTATGGAAGCAGCTAGTATATGCATCAAATGATTTTTTTCTAATAGCTCATTCAGATTCCTCTGTCTGAAGTTGGAGAGTTGGAGAAATTTTAATCTTAGATGGATCATTTTTAAAAAGCATTATTTTTCTTCTCAAAATCCTTTTTGAGCTCTTCCATGGCCTGAGACTGATTCATATTTTTCTTGGACGCTTTGAATGTAGGAGCTTTGACTTTGTTGTCTTCTTCTGGTTGTATGTTTTGATCTTTGTTACCATAGAAAGATTCTGTGGTCTGACTGTTTTTATGCAGTTTGCTCATGATCCCAGCCAATTTCTTGAGTTTTAAACTCTTTGTTAAGGTAGGGGTCTGCTTCCAGTGTGGAGAATGTATTGTCCCAAGCTTTGGGTGTTTTGTGCAGCTGTTTTCAGAGATACTTTTAGGGACCTGTAAGTTTTCAGTTCTCCCAAGGTGGTATGATCAAGGGCAAGGTGTTTGCTCCTTTCCTGGCCTGTGCTCTGGTCTATGAGTGACCAAAAAAACTGTTTTCTGCCTGGGAACTGTGAGGAGGATTCCCTCTCCATCTAGGCCATTGTTTTTCTTTGTAAATATTAATACTTCAAACCTTTTATTCCCCTTCCTATCATCTTCCAATCCCTAACAGTGAACTTAAACCTGCCCTGGAAAAAGAGAGATGGTTGGATGTTTGAATTTCAAAACCCAAGTAGACCATCACCACTAAGCCATAGATTGAGTATCAAGGACACTAATAATAACAGTAATAAATAATAGCTTATATTTATATAGTTCTTTGTAGTCACAATGGTCTTAAAATAACCCTGGAAATTACAGATTCATAGGTTTAGAGCTGGGAGGGACTTTAGAATTCATTGAGCCTAACTACCTTGTTTTAAAGATAAGGAAACAGGTTCAGAGAAGTTAAGTGACTTGTACAGGATCTTATATATATATATATATATATATATATATATATATATATATGTCTGAGGCAGGATTGGAACCATGGTCTCATGACCTCAAGTACTGTACTCTTATCAGTATGCCACATGAATGGCTTAAAGAGGTCAACAAAAAGAATGATTAAACAGAAGAGATGTTGTTGATTTTGAAAGTTAGACTTGCTACAGACATCTTATGATGTAGATACTTTGCCTCATTGGAGAGTTGAATGAATGAATGAGTGAATGAAAAAGCATTTATTAAGTGCTTACTGTGTGCCAAGCACTGCACTAAGTTATGGAGCTACAAATACAAACACAAAAACAGTCCTTGCTTTCAAGAAGCTTACATTCTAAAATCTGGAAACAACATATACAAGTTAGAGGTGGCCAAGGAGACGTATTTTGGTCTGGAAAGTTGCAAAGATGAGGAGTGGGGCTGTAGGGGATTGACACACATCTTTCAGGATTGAAGATGACTGGATCATAATCCCAGAGTTGGCAGGGAAGGTTTATGAGGAAGTTATCTGGAAGATGGCAGAGGATAGGAAGTAAAGTGAATCATGTTTGAGACAGGGTCTACCTGAAATAGTAGGTT